GCCGAGCCAGCACCTAAGATCTTTGAGTAAACTCATGCTAATGCATAAAACCACTCAGATTCCCAAGTTTCACAGAAGACAGAATGTCTGTTTCTGTGAAAACATTTGACTTTTTTTTCGTAAGAAACAAAGTATCACTCTATCCCCCTGGCTAGAGTGCAGTGGTGTGATCACAACTCAGACTCAAACTCCTGGGCCCAAGTGATCCTCCTTCCTCAGCCTCCCAAGTAGCTAGGACTACAAGCATCTGTCATCACCCCTGGCTAATTTTTTTTATTTGTTTTATGTACAGACAAGGTCTTGCTGTGTTTCCAAGGCTGGTTAGTTTCAAACTCCTGGGCTCAAGTGATTCCTCCACCTTGGGTTCTCAAACTGCTGGGATAAACTTATATACATCTGCATGAGAACAACTCTGAACAGTGGCTGGAATGTTCTGTATTGGAAAGCAGTGTCACTGACAGACATGTTTGGCAGGTCCAGTGTCACTCACCAGTTTCCAGAGGTTCTGGCATGGCATGGAAATGTTGTAGTCGATGTAGCAGGAGACCTCTTGGGAGTAGGGGGTCAGAGGGGCGGCCACATCATGACTAGGAAACCAACACAGACAAAACTTTCAGAAAGAAAAAGCCACTTTTCAGAAACAAAGCCAGCTTAGCCTCAGCGGATGCCCTGGCCCCATCAGTCACCACCATCTGCAAGTGCTCCTGCTTAGGGCCTGGCCACAAAGGAAACACCAAACAGGCAGAAGGAACTGCAGTCATCACACTTCCAGGGAATAAGTACATACTACTGAGGAACTGTACCCTGTTGGTCTGAAAGGTAACGGAGTTGGCACCATCCATCTGCCAAACAAGCAAAGCCAGCCTCGGAGGAAGGACCCTTGGGGTGGCGCTGCCCAGACTGCAGACTCAGAGGTACTGCCCAGGGACCAAGCAGCTCAAATGGGAAGACAAGACTGCCCTCTGTGACATGAACCTCCACACTCAGAAACACTCGTCTCCTCTCCGTTACCTCACTCGCTGTTATCTTTTCCTAAGGTCTGTACCTGGCACCACCTAGGAGCTGCCACCAGCTAGGAAAGAAAAGATGAAGCCCTATAGCACTTGGGGAAACAGCCAAGTGTGCTGGCAGACAGGAGCACACCAGGTCCTGGGAGGGCAGTGAAGAACAGGCTGGGGGACAGTGCCCAGCCAATGCTCTAGGTGAGGTGATACTCCAGCTGACACTGACCACAGTGAGAGTGGCCCCAGGGGAGCCGAGTCCACACACATCCCAGCAGAGGGAGCAAGTGTGATGCCTGAGGGGTTGCGCTGGTCATGTGGGGCTAGGGTGAGGTTGAGGTAACAGGGTGAAAGGAGCCTTGGTAGGGAGAAACTGAGCATGAAGGGGCCACCGAGGGCTCTCAGCAGAGAACCCACTGAGTGGGCTGTGGGGATAGAGGAGGAGGCAGAAGGACAGGACACAGGTCCTATGTAGATCAGTTCTGAGGGTCCAGACACTGATTTCCTGGTGGAATAAACACGGGATGGGAGAAGAAGACTCAAGGGAGACTCCTGAGCCACAGGGCCCTCCTAGGGAGGAGCAGCCAGGCAGGGTCTGTGAGCTTGGAGTTACAGGGGCAGCACAGGCCTTCAGGTGTACCCCATGAGCATTGAGGGGGACACCTGAGCAGCTGGTGCAGGAGGACAGGTGGCCTGGGACTCGCTGTGAGAGGGCACAAGGCAGGGCCACCAGCAGAGGCGGCTGGGAAGGAAGCTCGAGGGGCCTGAGGGGCCTGAGGGAGAGGCTAGCTGTGACACGAGCAACCACCTGGCGCTGCCCGGACATTAAGCCACAGAAGAGAACCCACATGGAGGTCACCACAGCTCTGTTATGCCCACACTGAGTCCTTCTTGAACTCACGCTTTGGACTCCAAACACTTTGCACAAGAGCCTACACCTTCCTCTCCGTGCTCCCCCAGTCTGTCATGGATGTGCCTCCCCTAGTCTGTCCCGGACTGGCTCCCTGTGGCACGGAGGGCTCTTGTGGACTGTATTGGGGGCTGTCTGACCCTCACCAGGGTAGTGCTCCTATTAGCCCCCTCCCCTTAGCTACCAACCCCATGGTCCCTCCCCAAACCTAAGAGTTGTGCCCCAGGTGAGCAAGACCCAAGGCCTTGCCTGCGCCTGAGCAGGACCACAGAGGATGCCCACAGCTGCGAGAGGAGTAGGGTGCTCACGTGTTGAGGAAGCGGGTGGTCATGCCGTGGACCAGCTGCACCAAGTCCCCATGCCGCACGGGTCTGGGAGGGCTGCTCACCACCAGCTGGTGCCTGAGCAGAAACAGTGCTGTTAGGTGGCACCAAGCCCAGCACCCACAAAATGATGGCTGCTGCACTAGGAGGGCACATGCTCCAGACTGCATGGCTGAGAAGCCCTGTCCACCACAGCCTGCAGCTGCTCGTGATTTCACTCTTCTGAAACCTACGGTTCCTTCCCAAACGTGATTCTATTTGCCTCATCAGGGACTCTGTACTTGTCTACGGGTGCCAAAGTGACAAACACTCCCATGTGCCAAGAAATCCTCCTTCAACCAGACTCTAGTTCACTGTCCCTTCTGTGAAAGCACGAAGAGCCTGGAACATCACAGACCCCGGGCAGGTGCTGAGTGTGTAGGGAATAAGCCGGTGGCACCCGCTGACTTCATGTCCTGCAGTGAGTGCAGCAGACGCAGTGCCGGTGAGCAAACCAGGCACCACTCAGCAGGAGTTTGACGGCCATAGGAGGCTGAAGGGGTGACTCTGGGAGAGCAGGGGCAGGATGCCCCCAGAAGCTGGCCTCCACATGTTCACACAAGGACTGGCAAACAGAGGTACTTGCCCTGCTCTAGAGATGCATGTTGTGGTCGTGGGGTGAGCAGGTGGCCAGTGGCTGTAGGGGCTGCTTCAGGCAGGGGCATTAGGTCAGGAAGGGGTGTGGGCTGAGAGGGACCCAATGTAATTACACTCAGCAGCCCCAGTGCTGAGTCAGGAGGGCAGGTGAAGACCGAAACCGTTTGGGAAATAGACTTGACTTTGACAGAGACCCAACTCTGGAAAGCTCCTGGGGGGCTAAACCAACGGGACTAAATTAGGGTGACCTCTTTCAGAGCAAGATGACACCATTTTTGAGAGAAGCAGGGAGGTGTAGTAGGAGAGGGCTACCCCGCTCCAGCCCTCTCCTCTGGAGAGCCTGGAAAGGGAGGGGTGCAGACAGAGGATAGGCCCCCAGGCTGAGCCCCAGGGTCTCGTCAGGAGACCAAGAAATGAACTCTAGAGTCCCAAGGCCCACACTCACCTCCCAGGATCCTTCACAATCCACCAGTTGTTGACATCTTTGAAGGGGTAACAGGTCACCTGCTGCTGGTGGGAGCTGCCCCGGCCATTCTCATATCTGTGTGAAGAAGTCAACAAAGAAATGTATCTGGAAGTGGCTGGGGTCAGGCCCACAGGCCTTTCCCCCAAGGGAGCTGACTTAAACAAACACTGCCCAGCAAGGTATTCCAGAGAGAATGAAGACGCAACACACCAAGGGCCTAAACCAGACAGGGGCCAGCAGATGCCAGGCAGGCTGCAGAGCTGCGCCCACTCACAGAGCTCAGTGGCAGTCAGCACCTGACAGCTAATTTCCTTTGGTCTTGTAACCTTCCTTGTAGAAAATTCAGGTTGCTAAGATAAACAAAATTATGAAAATAACTTCAAATTCAAACGGTCACTTTCCTTACATCATGGGGTAGGTGTTCTGGTGGGAATGAAGCCAGCAGGGCACAGGCTTGCCCAAGACGTTCCTCAGAGTGACCTGTGACCCGAAGGCCACCTCCAACGGCTGGCCTTGGGTGATTCGAGCTAGTCCTCCCTAAGATGAAAGCAGAAGGATTGGTGAGTGTGAGAGAGAGAGAAGAGCCTTCCTGATGGCCACTTCTGGGTGATACTTGGAGTAGTTGCAGTTCTTATTATATAAATAATTGTAACTACACCATCTAACCGTGTCATATTACACTGTATAATTGTAATTAGAGCCACTTCTGACAGAATGGTGCCTCTGGGCCAGGCGCTCAGCTAGTCTACGTGCACCCTTGTTAGTTCTTCCAAGCAGTCTATGAGATAAATGCCATTATTATGTCTAAGAGGTGAGAAAACTAGGACTTGGAGAGATAAGAAATCTGTCCAAGCTGGGCATGGTGGCTCATACCTATAATCCTAGCAATTCAGGAAGCTGAAGTGGGAGGCTTACTTGAGCCCAGGAGTTCAAGGCTGCAGTGAACTGTGATTACACCACTGCACTCCACATCTCTCTCTCTGTTTTTTTGTTTATCAGGCCCAGGCAAGCTCAAACTTGCTGCCCATGGTATGCAGGGCTGGCATGCTAACCACTGAACTACAGTGGCCAGGTGTGACCACATCTCTTAAAAAAAAGAAAAGAGCAGGCCCACTGGTGTCAGGGTCTGCAGTCCTGACCCCCTCCACTGGTATAGTCTACCATGTCTGTGAAGTTCATGAATCTGTCCTCTAAGGCTGTGAAACTGCCCAGGATTTGTAGGACTTGATTTTAAAATGTTCTGAAGCGCTGTCAGGACGACCATCTAAGAAAGCTGACTCCTTCACTTATTTCCACCAGAGTCGGAATTTGCTTAGAAATGCTGGCACGGATTCCTCCCTCTTGGATTAGGATTTCCCTCTAATGCTCATCTGGTGATGTTTACGTAAAGAAAGTCTGAGTTTACTATCACCATCTTTCTCAGCTGGCTACAGCATCCCAATTCTTACCTCTAAGCTGGCCTGGAAGGCACTGGACATGATCTGGTCGTGGGGCCCTGAGCGGTAGAGCAGAAGCAGGTGGACATAGAAGAACAGCACATACAGGATGGCTGGGATGGCCACCAAAGCCACTGCCCTGGCCAGCAAGTGGCAGAACACGGAGACCTGCCAGAGATCCAAGGAAAAGTCACTTCCTGCCATGTGGAAAGGTGTGTTCACTTCCAGGCACAGCAGGCTCAGGAAGAGTCAGGGACAGAAAGCTGGGAGGGTTCAGGTCTTTCCACTGATCCCCACTGTGACATCCCCTGCTAGCCCCACACGCTAGCCTAATGCAGAACCTACACTGGACAAGGTCCGGTCTCCAATCAGGTGCCATGCATGGACAGCTGCAACACTGAGCACCAGCAAGTATGTGAACACACCCATGTATTTGATGCTGAAAAGACAGAATCGGAATAAAGTTAGAATGATACTGCGAAACACAAAGTGGAAGAGGACACCACCCAAGACCTGTGGGGGCCAAACTCACCCCACTGCACAGGAACAAGCAATCCCAGTCAGTGTCAGCCACAACCACCAGCTCAGAGAGAAAGGGCTGCAATAAAAACAGGAAAACAGAACAGATAGAAGAAGTAATAGTTTACATGAGGCTTCAAAAGGCCACGGAAGTTGCACATTTCTTAGAGAAATCTTTCTAGGTTAGCACCAAGTATAATAAAAAATGCCACCCCCATATCCTAAGGTATCAGTCCTGGCAGAATTTTTCTTTTGTCCACAAAATTTTTGCTGCTAGTTTTAAGTTAAAGAAAAATGAGCCCAGAGCCAACCCCCAAAATATTAGATCCTCAAAATAAAAAGGTATCAGACCATCTCAAGTCAACAAACCACCCAAATCTTTTTCCTCATTAACTAGGAAAGATACATCCCATTTTCCATACCTGTGTTTTTGGGAGTTGGAGAACTTCAGGTAGGACAACACGGCCAATAGATTAAAAAATATTAACACTGATTCCAAAAGCATCAGCCTTGACTGAGTGATCAGAGCATTCTCTGTTACAAAGATGAAATGGATGCCAGTTTTAGGGAGCAAGGGCAAAGGCATGAAGACAGAGAACACTCTCCAGAAACTAACGCAAACGGTTACATTCCAAACTGTCACAGAATGTGAAAGTGGAAAGCTCTGAAATGGGGTGGCTGGAAGGGGACCCACTCCAGAAGACAAACTCTTAGGTCTGGTTCCCACCTACTGACACCTAAATGTAAGAACTGAGCAAATCATTTAACTCAGCTGAGTCTGTGCTTTTCTTACCTGCAGTAGAGTGATACCTACTCTATGGGGCTGCCATCAAAACACCGGGTAGGCACCGGGCCTCCAGAGTTGTCATTTGTTAGTATCTCTTTTTATTATCTGGCCTAACTGTTCATTTAATTTCATCTGTTCATAAACCTGAGCTGAAAGATCCTTTCTGAAGAGTATCTACTAACTTGTAGACCACCTCAGTGGTAGAACAAGGGGACATTACCATGAGGCGACAAGCCCGGTTGGAAATGGAGGTATCATGGTGCACGTGTACCTTGCAGCACCTGTTTGTGTAGCCCCTCACTAATGAGCATCTGATCACACAGCTCAGCAATCCCATCGCTAAGGGCTTAGCCTAGGAGCTGGTGACGTGCAGAGCCAAATGTGGATGAACACGAGGAACACAAGGCATTTACTCTGCGCATGCCCACCAAACCTACGGGCTCTCCTGAGCCTCACGCTGAAATGTAACAAAGGCTGGGATCTTCCCTTCATGATACCAAGGGAGGCAGGGGCCTAGGTCTTACCAATGAGCATCAACAGAGCAGCTCCCATGGCAGCACAGTGAGAGAAGTGGAGCTCTGACACTATCTGGTAGGCCATGGGGACTGACAAGGCCCCTGCGAGTGCTGGCAGTAGGCGCAGAGACCACACAGGCACGTTGCTACTATACTCTGGAAAAGCAAACACACATCAGAGCTGAGGGTACTGCGTACGCAACATCTTCAAAAACTACAGGTGTGTTTTCAGAGTATCATGTTCACAGATACTAAAAGTTTGCAAAAAGGGGCTCGGTGCCCATAGCACAGCAGTTATTGAGCTGGCCACATGCACCGAGGCTGGCGAGTTCGAGCCTGGCCTGGGCCAGCTAACCAAAAATGACAACTGCAACAAAAAATAGATGGGCCTTGAGGCGGGCGCCTGTAGTCCCAGCTACCTGGGAGGCTGAGGCAAGAGAATTGCTTAAGAACAACAGTTTGAGGTTGGTGTGCGCTGTGACACCATGGCACCCTATCCAGGGTGACAAAGTGAGACTCTGTCTAACAAAAAAAAAAAAGATGGGAAAGAGAACCATGAATTCTGAATTGTTGTTTTACTTAATTATCAACTGATTCTACCTATTTCCAAAAACACTGTGTAAGGCTTGGCATTGTAGCACAATGGTTAGGGCACCAGCCACATGCACCGAGGCTGGTGGGTTCAAACCGGGCCTGGGCCTGCTAAACAACAATGACAACTGCAACCAAAAAAAAAAAATAACCAGACATTGTGGCAGGTGCCACCTACTTGGGAGGCTGAGGCAAGAGAATCACTTAAGCCCAAGAGTTTGAGGTTGCTGTGAGCTGTGACACCATAGCACTCTACGGAGGGGCGACATAGCGAGACTCTGTCTCAAACAAAAACAAAAACAAAAAAACATTGTGGAAATATACAAAATTTACAAGTATAAAAGATAACTACAGGGCGGCGCCTGTGGCTCAGTGGGTAGGGCACCGGCCCCATATACTGAGGGTGGCAGGTTCGAACCTGGCCCAGCCAAACTGCAACAAAAAAGTAGCTGGGTGTTGTGGTGGGCACCTGTAGTCCCAGCTACTTGGGAGGCTGAGGCAAGAGAATTGCCTAAGCCCAGGAGTTAGAGGTTGCTGCGAGCTGTGTGATGCCACAGTATTCTATCGAGGGCAATGAGACTCTGTCTCTACAAAAAAAAAAAAGGTAACTATGATCAGATGATACGTGATACATGTACCAAAAACTAGAAATAAAATAATTACTGAACTAAACACTGAGATTTTTTTTATTTTGCAGTTTTTGGCATGGGCTGGGTTTGAACCCGCCACCTCTGGCATATGGGGCTGGTGCCCTACTCCTTTGAGCCACGGGTGCCACCCAACACTGAAATTTTTACCAGACTTTTCAAAAGTCTATCAATTGTATCCAAATAATTGATTATACTCTGCACTCAGAATAAGCCACAGTTGTGAATCCCTATGAAATCCACGCTCTCTGCACATTAATAAGGGAAATGAAAATCATCTTTTTACCTGCTCCAATTCTGTTCCACAAGAAGTTACCATCAAATCCTCCTAAATAACCTAAAATAGAAGATTAATCAGTAACCATCCAATTCAGCAAATATTCCTGGAGTTCTATGGCAAGCAATAAGGAAACAAATAAATAATAAGACATGGTTTCTTATTATTTGCTGAAAAGTTGTAAATGTGTTTGAGTCCTGAAAACAATGGCTGCTTCTTTCACTGAGTCCTACCTCCTAGTGCCAGCAGCATATGGCCAAACGGTGGTCCACTGTCATCCAAAAAGAAGACTCGTTTCATGTAAAAAGAGATATATTGCCCATAATATACTTCATCAAAACTGAAAAGAAAAAAAATTATACTCAATTACCAATCTTTATTTATTTATTTTTTTGAGACAGAGCCTCAAGCTGTCCCCCTGGGTAGAGTGCTGTGGTGTCACAGCTCACAGCAACCTTCAACTCCTGGGCTTAAGCAATTCTCTTGCCTCCACCTCCCAAGTAGCTGGGATTACAGGCACCTGCCACAATGCCTGGCTATTTTTTGGTTGCAGCTGTCATTTTTGTTTGGCGGGCCCAGGCTGGATTCCAACCCACCAGCTCAGGTGTATGTGGCTGGCGTCTTGGCCGTTTGAGCCACAGGCACCGAGCCACCAATCTTTATTTTGAAATGAGGTCTCAACTCAGTTGCCCTGGCTAGAGTGCAAGTGGTGCAATCACAGCTCACTATAGCTTCTAACTCCTGGGTTCAAGCAATCTTCCTGCCCCAGCCCCCTGAGTAGCTGGCACTATAAACGGCTGCCATCACACAGGGCTAATTTTTTATTTTTTGTATAGATGGAATCTCATTATGTTGCCCAGGATGGTCTCTAACTCCTGGTCTCCAGCAATCCTACCGTGCTACCATGCTGGCATCCAAAGCACTAGGATTACAGGTGTGAACCACATGCTCAATCCAGAAATCGTAACTGTAAATAAAAGGTGTGAGGAGGGTGGTGCCTGTGGCTCAAAAGAGTAGGGTTCCGGCCCCATATGCCAGAGGTGGCGGGTTCAAACCCAGCCCCAGCCAAAAAAAAAGGTGTGAGGATGGTCCCACTCGATAGCTCATGGCTCACGCCTGTAATCCCAGCACTCTGGGAGGCCAAGGCAGGAATTCAAGAATAGCCTGAGCCAGATCGAGACCCATCTCTAAAAATAGGCTGACATTACGGGCGCCTATAGTTCCAGCTACTCAGAAGGCTGAGCAAGAGAACTGCTGGAGCCCTAGAGTTTGAGGTTGCTATGAGCTATGATGTCACAGCACTCTACCAAGGACAACAAAGTGAGACTGTCTCAAAAAAAAAAAAAAGAATCCTTATCTTGTAGAGCCATATACACTGAATTATTTATGAATGAAATATGTCTAGCATGTGTTTCAAAGTAATTCACTGTAGGGAGTGGGTTGGCTATGAACTGATAATTGCTAAAGCTGGGTAATAAATATATATATTGGTGTTGGGGGTCATGATAACTATTCTCTCTACTTTTGTATTGGTGTCTGTAGCTCAACGGTTAGGGCACCGGCCACATACACGGGGGGCTGGTGGGTCTGAACCCTGCCTGGGCCTGCTAAACAACAATGACAACTGCAACAAAAAAACAGCCAGGCGTTGTGGCGGGTGCCTGTATGCCCAGCTATTTGAGAGGCTGAGGCAAGAAAACTGCTTGAGCCCAAGAGTTGGAGGTTGCTGTGAGCTGTGATGCCATGTACTCTACCAAGGACAACATGGTGAAACTTTGTCTTAAAAAAAAAAAATAGGCTCGGTGCCCATAGCACAGTGGTTATGGCACCAGTTACATACACCGAGGGTGGCAGTTCAAACCTGGCCCAGGCCACCTAAACAACTGCAAAAACAACAACAACAACAACAAAAATAGCCGGGCATTGTGGCAGGCGCCTATAGTGCCAGCTACTTGGGAGTCTGAAGCAAAAGAATACTTAAGCCCAAGAGTTTGAGGTTGCTGTAAGCTGTGACACTACGGTACTCTACCGAGGGTGACATACTGAGACTCAGTCTCTAAAATAAATAAATAAATAAATAAATAAAAACTTAAACACATATATTAATCAGGTAATAAACAGCACTTCAAAAGTTAACAGCAAACATTTCCCATTATGACAAAAAACATGTTTTGAGTGCTCTAAATAACAAAGGCTTACTTTCAAATTCAACAATCCTCTGCCTTCCAGATTTTTTTTTTTTATTTAAATGCAGTTTTTGGCTGGGGCTAGGTTTGAACTTGCCACCTCCAGCATATGGGGCCAGCCACCTCCTGCCTTCGAGATTTTAAAATGGTTTCCTAAGGCTGATAACCAGATTTCCCTCTACCATAATTCTTTAATAGGCCAAAATTTCACCGATATAGACCTAAAAGGCAAGCCTAAAAGGTGTATTCTGTGGGGGCTGTCCAGGGGACAAACCAGTCTCTCAGCTCACTGCCTGAGACATCCATCACCAAGAAGCCCAGAATTTCATGTTCCGATTTACACTGTTTAATCAGGCACCTTGTCTCACAAACTACAATTGTGGATTCACCCTCAGGATGGAGTTTTTTAGCTTACACCACAGCCCGAGGGTAGGAGAGCTGCCACAGTCGGCTCAGCAACCCCACCCCGGTGAGAAGCACAACCGTCAGGTTGATGTCAGTGGTCACCACGACAGGATGCTTCAAAAATCCCAACATCTTGTGGAAAAGGTGACTCAGGAGGATGCCCTAAAAAAGAAGTGAAAATCACCATCAATAAAGAGGTAGCAACCCTGAGGGCTCACAGTCTACTAAAATAATCCTAAACCACAGCATGCCAAGAAAGTCAGAGGCGGCACTCACCAAGCAGCTGTATGGGAAAAGTTAAACTGCACGTTTCACCACAGAGGTTTATGTAAAGACGTTTGGAGAAAGAGACCAGGTGCTGGGAATCTCACTTCTTTAAGAATTCACTGCACAAGCACCTGCTGAGCACCTCCTGGGACTGAGGCCACTGTCATCCCACTGTCACTGGATATCCCCACTTCTCTCCATCCCTCCCCAGCCACCAGCCGAGCAGTGCAGACACAAGCTAGTCTGACTTTGGGCAGCTCTGGGGGTGCCACCGCAGCTGCTTACAGCCCAGTGACCCCAATTTACCTGAGCCTCAGAGCCTCCTCTCTCCTCAAAGATACCTTTGCTTCCCCTCGTGGCACATCAATCCCTGCGTGTTCCTTTCCTTGCCTGAAGGGTGCATTTGCACCCATTTTCTCCCTGAGTTTTTATCTTTCTCTGGGCTCTGCTCCTCTTGGGACTGCACTTCCTTGGGGACCCCGTTTCTCACGCCGAAGCTGCAGCTGGTCTCGGTACCCTTTTCTGCTCCCAGGGCTGCATCTACCTAGGACAGCCCCCTTCGCTCCCCGAAGCTGCGCCAGCCCTAAGCACCTCTCCCCCCGCCGCGGCCTCATCTGTCCCTCCCCTACACTTCCAAGCGGCATCTCCCTGGCCTGCTCCTCCCGCCCACAGGATGCCCTGTCCCCGCCTATCGTCTTTCCTGAGGCTGCACAGTCCCCGAACCCCGCATTCCCCGAGTCTCCAGTCCCTCCCCGAAGCCGCATCCCCGGGCTCCGCGCGTCCCTCACCGACGTACCCCGAAACATACTCGCGTTTCTCTGAGTCCGGCAGAGCTGCTTCCCGTGTCTGGCACAGCCTCGGAGCCGGCTTGGGCGAGCCGACGGTTGGGGGTGAGTAGTCCTCTGGAATCGGCACTCAAGACTGCGCATCGCCTGGCTCGACCTTCGATTCACTCTGCCTGCGGATCCAGCAGGGCCAGGCAGCACGCATGCGCCGTGGGGCTGCGGGTGGCCTTGCGCGGCGCGCTCGGGAGCGGCCCTGGGGCGGTGCAGGGGCGGTGCAGGGGCGGCGCGCGTGCGCTACCGGTTCCAGGTCGCAGGCTGTGCAGGGACGACGCCAGTGCCCTACGGATCGGGGGTGCAGGGCTCGTGGTGGGACAGGTTGCGGGGTACAAACGTGAAGACTGTGCCCTTACTAAACACGCCTTCCAAGGCGCCTGCTCTGGGGACTCTCATCCTGCCGCTCCTTGTTTTCCCCGCAGAGCGTCCGTTTGCTCCGTCGCCGGCTGGAGCGCGGGGGCTGCTCGCGGCGCGATGAGGCGCTCTGCAGCCTCCAACTCCGCTGCTTCTCTCCGCGCCCGCGCCCCTGTTTCCTCTCTCACAAGCATGGCTGCATAAACATCTAGCTAGCGGAAGAAAGGCGGAGGGTGAGTGCGTTTGAAACAGACATGGGCAGTGAGCCGCGCTGCTGGGGGCCGTCTTAGGCAGTGGCCGGGCATCCCCTCCGAGCGCCGCCTAGTCGGAAGAATCGAGGCTGGCCCTCCCTTCCTTGGCTCCCGGCGTCTTGTCCGTAAGCCTCCCCGAAGGCCTGCCTTGCGGCCCACGCAGTGCCTTTGGCTGGGTGAACGCTCTCCTTCCTGTGTTTTCCCGGGACTGGGGACACCCAAAAGGCATAACCCACAGAGACGCAACCCAGTTGATGGATCTCTCTCCTCATCAGTCTCACCCCGTTAAAAATTAGGAAGCCAAAGGTCGGGCGCGGTGACTCACGCCCGTAATCCTTGCACTCTGGGAAAACGAGGCGGGTGGATTGCTTAAGCTTGAGGAGCTGGAGACCACCCTGAGCAAGAGCGAGACCCTGTCTCTACCAAAAATAGAAAAGCTAGCCGAGCGTTGTGGCGGGCTCCTATAGTCCCAGCAGGGAGACAGGCAGGAGGATCGCTTGAGCCCAGGAGTTGGAGGTTGCTTTGAGCTGTGACGCTACAGCACTCTACCGGGAGCGACAAAGTGAGACTCTAAGAACAAAACACTATAGATTTAATAACGTGAATTATTACTACTTGGAAAGATTTTTTTGTTTTTACCTCGGTCAACCCAGCATTAGGTGACATCAGTTAACAGTGTAGTGAAGGGTAATTCTTTCTGGCTTACTCATGACGGGTTGGTTGTGTCTCACCCAAGATCCTGCAAAAGCTGGGCAGAGGGGGCTCCCTGGGCCCTAGAAGGGAGTGGGATAGCTGAGCTTTGGCCTGGCCCATGTAAGCAGTGGGTGGGAGTGCTGCTGAGCTCAGAGCCTCACTCTCAGGCCTGGCCTCCTGCAGGGCCAGCTCTTTTAGAGGTCTTGAGTGAACCACCAGGCCCTAGGGGCGGCGAATCTGGCAATGGGTATGGCTGGCTAGAGCTCACTAATGTTCTCAGAATTTGAGGGGTTGGTATTCCTCACGGAAAGTGCTTTTTCCACTTGCTCTTTCCCCACCTCAAAGTGCAGCTTAACCCTCTACTGCTTGCAAAAGGTCCCCTCTCAGTAGTAACATAACATGAGAGTGAAAACTGTGGTTAGGGGCATCTTCAAACTACATTACTGCAGCATCCAGCCAGCCTCTTCCCCAGGGCTGGCATCTGAAGTGCGCACCCTCTCCCCGTAATGCTTTCTGAAGGCATTTTAGCCACACCCCTCCTAATTTCTGTGAATTATGTTCATTTCTGTTTAATTATGTTCACCTTCCACCTGTAGATGTCTCCAGCCAAATAACTGAGGAACTAGGGACACACAACCTGAGAAAGCATGTTCAGCTTTATTTTTTTTAACTTTTTTTATTTAAATAAGGAGAATTCTTTCATATGGAAAGAGCTAGTACAATCACATATTTGAAAGGAGAAACAATAGGTACTGAACCGGAGGGCAAGGCGCAGGGTGTGTGCCAACACTGGCCGGGTGAATCCATGGTTCCATTTCCCATCCCAGGTAAGTTTGCCAAAACTAACATATAAACGAGTTGCACATTACACCTTTATCCATCGTCTGCCCTTTCAAATATCTGGTCTACATGAAAAGACAAAGAGAGGAAAGGCCAAAATTAAACAAAAGGAAACAAAAACAAAACACAACCCTCTCAAGAACAAAATGAAAACCCCAAATCCTTTTTACTATGCAAGGCATGAGGTCAAAAGTTTAGAGTCCAGTATCCCCTTTGAACAATGGAAGAAAGTCTTAACGTAGAGCCGTAGCAGGGACTTCTGCTCCTAGGCTTCCTAGCATGCTGAGGACACGCCCTAGGGATGCTGCTGCCAAACCAGGGCAGAGGACACTGAACAGCAGGCCTCCTGCACCTGGAAGATCACTAGCAAAGAACACACTCAGTGGTCATGGTGGAACACGGCCAGGTGACACAGCATCTGTCCCCAACAGAGCCCCTGCTATCTCAGACGACCCACTTGTCACAAGTCCACCTCACATTTCAGAGAGCTGGCTTTCTGGAAGTCTGCATGCCACATTCATCACAGAACATGACAAAGCACACACTCTAGTATCCTTGGTTGTCAAAGGCCATTTCCAACAGACCCTCTAACCCAGGCTTGCTCTGTAAGCGAAAAGGAGCAAATAACTATTTGAGAAGTGATATGCATCTACTTGGCAGAGGGGAACCAAATGGCAGGGGCAGGGAGCTTTACCACAACTGCCACATGCTGCCTTGGCAGGCCAGCTTACAACACAGCTGTGCACCTGTGTGCACATACAGCCTTCCTGGGTCTGAGCATTAGTCGGTGACAGATGTCATCACTGAAGACTCAGGAGGCAAATCCAGAAGACCAGAGGGCAATGGTATATCACTGGAGAGGAACCGTGTCACCATCTAACAAGATGACCCAATATTCTTAGAAGCAGCTGGAATGGCCATAGCTCACAACTGAATGGATTCCTCTGAGTATAGTATTTCATAAAACCAATCCTTTGTCGCCCCCACCCCCACCCAAGGAACCTGGAGCCAGAAGTATTCTATGAATTCCAAGATTGAAACCAATAAAATGCAAATAAAAAGGGGGTGAGAACACAGTTAACCAGGCCAGTTGCAGCCAATAGAAGTTTTAAGAGGGCAGTCAAGGCCACCTTGACACCCCACACACTCTTAACAGGGGACAAATTACTGCAAGGGCACTGGGTGCTGAGGAATAGGCTGCACTGCTGAACGGCCAGACAGCAACCTACACCAGGAGGGTGACTTTAGTAAGCAAACCCTGCAGCAGCAAAGTGCTGGTCCTCACCTATTACTGCCAAGGTCCCACAGCAACCTGGCTTCTGCATGGATCTGTGCTCTGGTGGGGTTTTGGAGCTAAGTCCTGTTAGATTGAGCTTGGCTCTAAAATCATGCGAAAAGAAAAGATATTGCACCTTAAAATGTCTCTGCACTAAAAACTGCATTTAATCAGACTAAGAAGGAGCTGGGATATCGGGAGGCTTGAGGCCTGTCCTCTGCCCTGATCAAGTCTAATTTAAAAATCTCCATTTCAGTGGGGAAGATTTTGGCTTGGGACACACAGAGGTGGTGGACGCACAGAACCTCACATGCATGTTCCTGGCCTTTCCTGCACAGAATTAATCATCCAGACATTATATATAAACAGAGCAGTGAAACATTTACTTTTTTTTTCACCTAGACCTACAACATCAATACATATAAATAAATTCTAGTGTTTTTTGTTTTTATTTGGAGTGGGGGGAAGGATGGAGGGAAACACCAGGTTAGAGAAAAGGTGGCCTTTTTGTTTTTATTCTCCATCAGCAAGTACTGTCACTCTGGCGGCAGGTTCACCTGAAGGATACATCTCGAGTTTGTAACAGCATCTGGGACTGTTCTGTTCGGTTTTAACAGGAGAAAACTTCTTTTTCTTTTGACATAATGTGCACCAGCATCAGGTATGAGTGGGGTTTCTTAAGTGTACAGGCAGAGATGAACATGTGGCTCCCCAAGACCCAGCCTACCCCAGGAGCAACTTGGTTTGGAGGCAGGTGGGGCAGAGGATTAGTCCCAGGGCCCTGACCACACACTGGAGGTAGGGGGTACCATAGATGAGGACGCAGGCAGGTAAGTGCTGGAAAATGAGTTGGGCAGAAGGGACTGAGGAATAAAGACTCTGGGATGAAAGAGTAAATGATGTGTGGTCAGGGAGGAGACAAGAAGAGGGGCTGCTGAAAGGTACAGATGAAATAGCCCCAAGCCAGATGGCATTGGGGGGAGACAACTGGGTACTGCCTGGTTAGAGGCTATTCCTTCACTTCCATAGAATTGTAAAAGGCAACACAAGAAGTTATTCCAGCAGTTCCTAAGATTTCTTTCCATATGGTACACTAGACATGGAGCTTAGGACGCAAAGCCTGAGTAAGACCTGTGGTACACCCACAATGATCGGCAGGCTCTGTGCAGGGCCCACCCTGGCCTGCCACTTCACTGCATGTTCTGAGTTGGGTATCCTCTGGAACTAACAGCAATGCAGGCAACAATATGTGCAGGTGAGGGGCTGGCCAGTCACCCTAAGGGCATCTGAGAAGCTTGGACTGTCCCTTTCCTTGAAATGACAGAATTTGGGATGATGTCCTTCTGTTTTATTTAAAAACTGCCACCAAAGCCCAGATATAAAGGCTGGCTCACTCACACACACACACACACACACAACAGTCTTCAGAGGGTTCAAAGCTGTTTTGGAACTTGGAACTAGTGAGCTCTGCAGTGCACACCCTCACCAGGCCCCCTGCTCAGCTGCCCACAAAGATAAGGGAGACTAACACATGCTGCCCATGCTGTCCTTCCATCCCAACAACCTGGGCCTGTTGCTGGAAATGGAGAAAAGGGGGAAACTCCCAGCAGCCTTACTCAGAGCCTACACACCTTTGCTGCAGAGTAGACCAAAGAAGAATCCATGTCTTCTTGTCACTGTGGTTTCAGTGAAGAGCTGTGTGAGAGGTGGGGGACAGGCGTCCAGGGAAGAAAGCGGCAGACTCCAAAAGACAAGGAAAGGGAGATGACAGGTTAGGGAAGGCTCCAAGGAAAGTTGGTGCGTGTGGGAACACAACACCCTGGAGGAACTGCACACACCAAAGGGCCTGCGGTGTGTCAGGGTGCTCCCTCCAGGCCAATCTGGAAAATACCAGCAATCATCTCCACCATTTCTCTCTGGTGCCCAGTGATCAGCATAGCCCAGGACAGAAATCCTGTGTGACTCTAAATCATCAATGTCACAGGGCTGCCCGTGATAGGGCCCATCAGGCCAGGAGTTGGAACCTGATGGAGACACCAACCTACCTGCTGCTGTTCACCTGATCATGTATGTCCAAGGGGAGCTGAACACCAGAGGGCTCTTGACCAGTGTCCTAAACCACCTCACAGGTCAACCAACTGACAGGGAGCAGGAAGGGACACATTCTTAAGAGTCATCTCCTAAGGTCGAAGGAAACCACTAGACACGGAGGAAAGGGAGAGGGTGGGAGAGGACGTATAAAAGTTTAGCTGTACAGATGTAGCTTGCGTTTTTGTTTTCCTTTCCCCTTTGTAAAAACCTTGGCTGCTTTTTAAAACAAAAAGCCTCAAACTAAAATGTCCCTGCTGCCAAACCGCTCTGCCTGGGGGTGGGGCAGCGGGGCCCGAAGCACTGGCAGGAAGTGCCCTGCGGGAGCAGGTGACAGAAAGGGATCCGCACTCCACAGTCAGGAGGTAATGGGGGGGAAGGTGGTGTTGCTTGTTTCATATCGTATCAGAGCAAGCAGGTCAATGCCATGTATCCACGGGTGCAAGCTGGTTGACAATGGAGCTTTCAGGAGCAGAGAAGAGGAGGGAGAGCTCTCAGTCTGGCCAAGTGGTTGGATGATGGACCTAGTGAGGCTCCCAAGCTCCGGCTGTGTTGAGGCCGAGTGGTGGCACTGTCCCCAGCAGGGCAAGGCCAGGTGGCAGCCAGGCACCTTCAGGCCTTACTCTCCTCCACTTTGACTGCCCGAGGTTTGATGGCTCCTGTTCGTTTCATCTGGGAGGCAGCTGAAGAGGCTTCCTGTAGCTTCACGGCTCCCAGGCTGGGTTTTTCATCCACTCGTTTTGCCTTTAGACAGATGAACCAGAAAAGAAAGTGACCCTAAGGCAGAAAGACCTGTTCAGATAGTTCCCACCACTCCCTTCCTGCTCCTGAGGTGCAGAGAAAAGCTACCCTGCCAAGTCCACGCCTTGGCTGAAGGACCAGAAGCAGAAATCACTCTCCTAATAAGGAAAAGTGGCTGCTCTGTTTCTGGCCCCTCCTAAGGGCAGTGATTTGGACAGGCAGAAGATACCGGGTCCTCTGCAAAGAATTCAGCAATGGCACACCTCAGGTGGACCCATTTCTGGTCCCAAGACTGATGAGAACCTTTTCAAATCAGTGCACCCCATGCCCTACAGGAAAAAGCCCCTTGGTGGCAATCCCAGTGGTGCTGAGGTGGGGTGGGGTCTCTGTGCACAGGTGCTTCTACCAGATCCCTGGCCATGATCCATTTACCACCCCACCCACCCCCACCCCCCACCCCCCGCCGCCTTCTGCTTCTCACTGCGGAGGCTTTCCCTGGGGCCCTAGCTTGACTGTGACATTCCCAATTGCCCTCCACAGTTAAATTTCACAGAGCGACCAGCATGCCTGCCCTTGCACAGTGGTCTGCACTCTGGAAGAAAGCTTTAGAAGCTCACTCTGTAAGATCCAGCTAGTGACCCCCAGGGGAACCAAGCGTGGAGAAAGAAAAGAGTAGCTAGCCTCCCCCCTCCACCAGCCAGTCATGTTGACTGGATTAAAAGCCCAGCCTTAGAGCCATAGTGAAGACCAGAATGCCTGCAGGAAAACAATGAGAAATCCTATTTATTATAAAATAGAAACACTGAACTTCACCTGGGATCCCACCCAGCCAGGACAAAGACTAGACACAGGGTGCTGGAGCCTCCAGCCTCTGAAGCTAACCCGCAGGCCTAACCAAGTCACCCAGACCACCTTCACAGCCCCAAATTGCTCAGGATGGTACACCTGGCATCACCTCCTTAGAGGAACCAGCATCCTCCCTTCTCTGCAGGACAAGGAAGGATCCAGATGCCCATCAAGAGGAGAAATGCCTTTGCAGGAGGGACTCGGGCTGCCCAGCTCCCTACTCAGATTGCTAGGGCATATCTGTGTATACAGAGAGTGCCCAAATAGGGTACACAGTCCCTCCTCTTTAGGCACTTGGAGAGAGGCCTAAGTGTCCAGGGCTGAAGGGTCTGGAAAGCCATCTTCTACCTGTTGAACGTAGTGTCCCTGCACAGAGCCCATGTTAACTGCTGATCCAGAGGGCTTCCCACTGGGGCTAGCAGAGCTAGGCCTGAAAAAACCAAAGGCAGGGGTTGAGAAACACAACGTGTCACCACAGACAAGGAGTCAAAGCCTAGCACAGGGAGGCAGCAGGAGGAAGGAAGGGCTCTTGGGCCAGAGACCTCATCTGGGCAGTCCACAGACATACAGGACAGAAAAAATCAGAGACCTAAGACAGTCAAGAATGCAGAAGGGGATAGGGGCTGGGGGTCACTGTCTACCCTGGCACGTCCCAGGCAGAGCTCCACAAACAGAGCAGGGGCTGAGGCCCCCACCATAGGCAGACACTGCTGTTGTCCTGTGGGGAGATGGACATTGACCCTCTCAGGGCTTCAAGTGCCTGGACCAAAATGGCAGGCCCAGACAAAAAGGTCGACAAGCCTAACACTAAGCAAGACTGCTGCCGAGTATTTGTGTTGTCTCTACTTTTAGAAAGGGGGGCAGAGGAATAAAAACGTGTAATGTAATTCTAAACGTGTCCCGCTGACCACTAGCAAGTTCCCAGGGATATTAATTAGATGTTCTGCCATCAGGTGCTGCATGCACAGCGGTAACCAGGACTCCTGATTCGCCCCCCCCCCACCAAGCCCCCTGGGATACAAGGGCCCCCTCGCTGTCTTACCAGGGAACCCTTTATTGCAGGATGGGTCTCTGCAGCCCTGTTTCCAGAAATCTTTGGGAAACTCTGTTTATAGAATGACACCAATTTCCTCAGGCTTCCAAAACAACATCAAAACAAAGGCTACAAGGTAAGACTAACATTTTCTAAATATTCTCCAAAAAATAATCTGCCCTTCCTACAACTAAATGGACACAAGTGGCTCTTGTCATGGGAGCTTCCATTCTCTGGATTTTGCCTCTTTGAGGAAGGCTCTGCAGGCAGACACTGCTAGAAACTGCTTACAGCAGCAGAGAACTACAGCATCTGTTCATATTGGAAACTTCCTTCTTTCACTTTTTTGTTTTTTTGGAACACAGTCTCACTCTGTCACCCAGGCTAGAATGCCGTGGCCTCGGCCTAGCTCACAGTAACCTCAAATTCCTGGGGCCAAGTGATCCTCCGGCTTCAACTTCCCAGGTAGCTGGGACTGTAGGCAGCTGCCCCCATACCCAGCTAGTTTTTCTATTTTTGGTAGAGATGGGATCTTAAGTCATCCAAGCTGGCATTATAGGGTAAGCCACCAACCCAGGCTCCAGCCTCCCAGAGTACTGGGATACAGGGTGAGCCACCACCCTGGCCTCCTTCCTTCATATTATATGCATTGTCTCATCCTGTTTCCATCTAACTTTTTTTATGTAGTTCACATGGCAGGAAAATAAAACATACTAGCAAAAATAAATGAAGCCAAAAGTGAAAGAACAAAAAAAAAAAAAAAAAAAATTTTTTTTTTTCCAGTTTACAGTTTTTGGCCAGGGCTGGGTTTGAACCTGCCACCTCCAGCATATGGGACCAGTGCCCTACCCTTTTGAGCCACAGATGCCGCCCCTTGTTTGTGTCAGAGCCTTAAGCTGTGGCCCTGGGTAGAGTGCCGTGGCATCATAGCTCACAGCAACCTCCAATTCCTGGGCTTAAGCGATTCTCTTGCCTCAGCCTCCCAAATAGCTGAGACTACAGGCGCCTGCCACAACAGCTGGCTATTTGTTGGTTGTAGCCGTCGTTGTTTGGTGGGCCTGGGCTGGATTTGAACCTGCTAGCTCTGGTGTATGTGGTTGGCGCCTTAGCCGCTTGAGCTACAGGCGCTAAACCAAGAACAAAAAATTTGTAGTAGCCTGTAGTCCCAGCTACTTGGGAGGTGGAGGCAGGAGAATCACTTGAACCCAGGAGTTGGAGGTTGCTGTGAGCTGTGACACCAGGGCACTCTACCCAGGGTGACAGCTTGAGGCTCTGTCTCAAAAAAAGAAAAAAAAAAACGTGGACAGGCTTGGTGGGTGACCCACACCTGTAATCCCAGCACTCTGGAAGGCCCCAAGGCAGGTGGACTGCCTGAGCTCACAGGTTCGAGATCAGCCTGAGGTAGAGCAAGACCCTGCCTCTAAAACTAGCTGGGTGTTGTGGCAGGCACCTGTAGTCCCAGCAACTTGGGAGGCTGAGGCAAGAGGATCGCTTAAGCCTAAGAGTTTGAGGTTGCTGTGAGCTTTGACGCCACAGCACTCTACCCCACCAGGAGCGACAAAGTGAGACTCTGTCTCAAAAAGCAAATAAACAAAAAAACAGAAAATGAGATGAAATGGGGGAAAAGTCACAAAAAGCCCTTTCTCTGGAAAGGTAGCTGAATGTGGTACACGCCATGGTGGAGGCAGACAGACAGGCAGGCAGAGCAATGAGGCACAGTGAGTGACTACAGCAAGAACAAGCTGGGACAAGGGCACCTGGCTTGTGGAGTGCTCATGGAGTGATCTCAAGGTGCCTGGAGCAAGGGCACTGTGGGTCACATGGGTCTGTCCCACTCATTTGCAAACATAAGGAGATCTCTAGGAGTCTCCCACACATAACAAAAGTTGAGTGAACAAACCCCTGGGGGCTAGAGCTGGAACGGGAGCAGGCTGCCCTCACAACCCGGCAAAGGTGAAAAGGCCAGAGCCAGAGGTTTTCCACTAAACCCAACAGAGCCGCCTCTGAACCCAGCTAAAGGGACCTGAGGCAGTTACGGGAAGCTGAGACAGATACAAAGGAGGCAAAAAGGTGCCAATTTATACTGTGGCAGGAATGGTCCCACAAGTCTAGCAATAAAAAGTCCCTGACAGGGTTCAGAGGGTGAACTAAGGTGAAAGAGACCCTGGTAATGGCCAGACTCCTCCCCTTGCCAAGGCGTCGCCTTCTCAGCTAATGGGTCCTGATCTTAAAAATCTGGTGACAAAGTTGAGTAGTCAGGAGCACAACTGGTGTCCATTAAAACATTAGCTATTCCTTTTCCTACTTTTCCTGAAAGTTCTGCAATCTTATTAATGATAATTAACAGCAAAACCACTCTCCTGATTCACCGTTTTCCTGTCGTTAACTGACACAAATGTGTGCCAACAGTGAAACAGCATGGTGACACATCAGCCTACAAGGGGATGAGATCTTGGTATCATGCGAACCACTCTCCCTGGGCCCACGGGATCTTCTGAGCCACATCTCCAGTGAATGCCCAGCTATCTGGCATTCAACCCCAGGGAATGTCTTTACCTGTAGGTCTGTGGTGACGTCACGGGCCCTCCTGCAGGAACATTCTGTTTACTGTCAGCAAAGTGGAAGCCTTTCATCTCCATCTGAGAGGGCTAAGGAGAGAGACGGAGTAGTAGTAACAAGTTGTCATGGGACAAGCCTGGAGGCAGCCTGGCCTTCACTAACCACAATAGGCCGGGAGGACACAGGCCCATGAGACGCTCCAGGGAGGTATCTTCCAAAAGAAGGTGCAACCATTTCCTTTCCAACCCAGACTCAAAAAAGGGCTTTTTTTTTGAGACAGAGTCTTATTTTGTCACTCTTAATAGAGTGCTATGGTATCTTAGCTCACAGCAACCTCAAACTCTTAGCTTTAAGTGATTCTCAGCCTTCCAAGTACCCGGACTATAGGTGCCCACCACAACACCAGGCTATTTTTAGAGGCAGGATCTCACTCTGACTCAGGTAATCCACCTGCCTTGGCCTCCCAGAGTGCTAGGATTATAGACAGGGCTTTTTCTTAGGAGGAACCACCACCACAGTATTTTTTCCTTTTTAAAGTTAGGAGAGAGAACTAATTATACACATCCAGGATGGACATCTGTGATGTCTTACCTTGAGGCCTCACATGTGCACCCTCCTCTTGGCTTAGCCCTATACACACCCACACTTGTGCACATTACTACCTGACACATGGACCAAAGAGTTCCTGATCTCGGGGTTCCGAGACTTTGTATTTGAGAAAAGCAGCATTCTGGTGAGGCCAGAGCCTACATCCCAAGCCACTGTCACCTCCCCCCACAGGGGTCTTAGCTCACTAGAAGAGGTTCATGAGACAAGGCTACGCCCAGAATCCCTAGCGGATGGGGTGCCATTACCTCTCTGCTGGTGTTCAGGACTGGCGGCTGGGACCCGGGTGGAGGAATCCTTCTGGGGGCCCCAACAGAGAGGCTCTGCCCTGGTGGCAGCTGGATAGATTGGGGCAGGATTAGCGGCTGTTGTCCAGAGCCATATCGAGGCAGTGGCATGGTCAGCTGCTGGACAACAAGGATAGTTAGGGAAGAAAGGTTCAAAATATGCACGCATGAGTGACTATACACTGCGGACTCCTACTTTGAAGGAATTTGAGCATAGCCTGTACATAACAGTAAACTTTCTAAATTTCTACTCCATCTATAGCGGGAACTGGCCAGGGCTGTACCCTATGGGTGGCAGAGGTGATCTTGCTGGAATGTCACAGGTGGTGGGAAAATGCACAAGACTAAGCTAACTGCAGATGCAGGTGTAAATGGTGTCAGTATGTGTCTCCTCTTTGTCTCTGAAAAGGCCTCTGTGCACTTCAGCTATTTTAGCTGTCATCCAGCAAGTCTGCTGAAGCACCCAAGGTGCTGGGGAAGCACCAGGGCACTCTCAGGCACGGGCAGTGTGTGGCACGCCAGACACAGCTGCAGGGGGCTCAGAGCAGCAACACACCACATGTGTGGGCAAGGAGGGAACAAGTAAGGGAAGTCAGAGAGCTTCTTGGGAAGTAATGGCCAAGTCCAGTCCCAAATGATGAAAGCTGCTTGGGAGTCTTTCTTTGTGTGACACAAACATTCAAGGTTCCTTTTACTGGTCTGTACCAACAGTGGTAGCAAACAGGGCCTAGCTGGACTCTGGGGACCCTGGAAGCACGTGATAGAACAAGAGTGGCTGCAAGGCTTTAATGACCAAAACAAGAAGGGCACAAGTCGGGAGATCAGCCTGGAGACCCTCAGCACAGGGAAACAAGAAAGCACCATTTTTTCTGTTTTTTGTTTTTTTGACTCTGCTGCCCCAGATGGTGAGCAGTGGTGCAATCACACCTCGCTGTAACCTCCAACTCCTGGGCTCAAGTGATCCTTCCACTTCAGCCTCCCAAAGTGTTAGGATTGTAGGCATGAGCCACTAGGCCTGGCAGAGGCCCCACTTCCGTCTCTCAGTCACTGTCCTCGTCATCTCCCTGCTATTGAGTCCACAGTGCAGGATTAGAAGGATCTATTGGAAACACATCACTGAGACTTGTGGTGGCCAGAGCCTCAGACACCATATTCCTCCCTGGAGCACTGACAGGAGCAGGATGGAGATGGCAAGAACATGCTGCCAGGTGGAGAGCACTGAACAGGGTGTGGCACAATCTGAGTTGTTTCAACTTGGACAGAAAGTGAGGTCCCAGAGAAGAAGCAGGGGATGAGTGAGGAGCCCCTATGAGAGCCTGGACAGCATGGTGGGTGCAGAGCAGTAGCTGGATTCTGAGTTCCTTTAAAGCTACAGCTGAGATGAGCTGCTGAGGGATCAGAGGGGCAGAGAGGGGCAGCAGGGTGCTGAGAAAGGCATGGGCTGGCAGCCAGGAGGGCTGGGAAGAGAACCGTTGTTTGCCGTGGTAAATCTGACAGACTGTGAGACAGCAGAACACTCAGGTGGGCTGCTGGAATGGGGATTCAGGGCCAGAAGTGATCAGAATACGATGGGACTTTGAGCCATGGACTAGAAAGAGTCCCAAAGTGGCAAAACGACCTTACAGACCAGGGAGAAAAAGGACAGCAAAGGAGACTCAGAGGCCTGAGGCCAAAACCGAGTGAAGAACATGGTTCAAGGTGGAAGCAGAGTCACCCTCAGAGACATCCAGTGCCACCCAGAGGCCTGGGGAAGGGAAGGCTGGAGCAGGCACTGGATGTGGCAATCTGGAGCTCACAACACTGTGAAGGGCACAGATGATGGTGTGGGTTTCAGAAAGGAAGATGGGAAAAGGGACACCGACCCCATTTCCACACCCACAGTACTTGGATGGCGAGAGAGGGGGCAGCCTCTGTTTGGAGGGGCTGCAGGAGCAGCTGTGCTCAGGGAGAACTGGGTGATGGGGCCATACAGAAAAGGCTGAGTCCTAACAGCTCAAGGATTTAGTCCAAGCTGAGCTTGAGCCTGCTGGCACGGTGGTCCCAAATAGCATGAGTCACAGACCAAGAAGGGGCAAAGGGAAAAGACAAAATCATGACAGGAAACTCATGCTGGGCAGTGACTGAAGTCCTGACCTGTGGGAGCTGAGAGTCCAACATCTGGGAGGCACCCAGACTTGCAGCCTGGCCAAGCTGGCCCTCGTAGACCAGGGCTTGGTTTCCACTCATGGTCTGGTAGGGTGAGCCAGACTGGGGCTTCACCATCTCCAAGGGCTGCATCCCTGGGAATGCCGAGTATGGAGGCTTCAGGGCTGTGCCCCCAGAGAGGATCATAGTGCTGGGTGGAGACAGGCTGGGGTGCATGTACACCTGAGACCTGCAAGAGTGACACAGGGTTATAAGGACACGGGGGGCGGGGGCAGGGGTCACAAGTGCAACAATCATCTGAATCCCCCCCCCCCCAAACACAGACCCTGGCCCCACCCCAAGCTTGGCCCAGAGGGCCTGAGATGGCCCAGGACTCGGCATCTGTAACAGCTCCCAGGTCCAGCTGATGGTGCTGGCCCAGGTACTACTTGCGCATCACTGGATTCAACAAACAGTACATCTACACTGTGCCAGGCACCACATGGCCACCATAACGTCCACAGCACAGGACATCAGATATGGGAAGAACAGGCGAACGTGGGAAGAGAGGGCAGAGGAGGGAGGGGCAAGGGAAGGAGGCAGAATGATACGGAAAAAAGGAAGTAACAAGGCCCACCACAGCCTCTCCCAGCGCACCATGAAGAATGGACTATGGAGTGGACAGCTGCACAGGGAAGGGGCAGAGGGGGTGGCCAGGGCTGGGGCTCACGAACTCACCTGAAGGGCTGCAAAGAGCTGAAGATCTCCTGAGACTGGGAGACGGGCAGTCCCCCCCTCAGTCCAAGCTGAGCTTGAGCCTGCAGAGACGTGTGAAGGGAGATCGGGATTTGCTGGGCAGCAGCAGCCTGGGAAAGGGAGGCCAGCGGTGACTGCAAGGCCCTCTATGATGGTCCCCACCTCCCTAGCCACCTCCACACAGTAGGTAGAAAAAGGCTCCGAATGTGCGTCCATCATGTCCTTCGGGGAAAACGCCTTACCCCTTCCCTTCCTCTTAGAATAAAGCCTATACTGAGAAATTGGTAGCAACCCCAAACCATGGTATGATCATTCCTACACTGGGGTTCAGTAGAGTAGCAAGAATGAATCCTAGCTACAAGGAATAGAGCTGAATTTAAAAATGTGATGTTAAATTTTAAAATATATATAAGGCTCAGCGCCTGTGGCTCAAGCGGCTAAGGCACCAGCCACATACACCTAAGGTGGCGGGTTCAAATCCCCAGCCCGGGCCCGCCAAACAACAATAATGGCTGCAACCAAAAAATGGCCAGGCGTTGTGGCGGGCGCCTGTAGTCCCAGCTACTTGGGAGGCGGAGGCAGGAGACTCGCTTGAGCCCAGGAGTTGGAGGTTGCTGTGAGCGTGATGCCATGGCACTCTACCCAGGAGGATAGCTTGAGGCTCCGTCTCAAAAAAAAAAAAAAAAAAAAAAAATTAAAATATATATAAGGAAGGTTATATGCAATGTGATCCAGTCACACGAGACTCAAAATCTAGCAAAACTAATATGATCTAATGGTTAAGAATACATTAAAAGACATCAGGACAGGCCATATCCTCTGCCCTCAAATCTGCACTTGGAATAGATTCTGCCTGTGAGGCCCACTGTCGTGGCATATGCAGGTACATGGGTCTCAGGGGTGGCCAGGCCCTTGGAAAGAACCGGCACCAGCTGTAGGAGGGAGATTTGAATCATTCCCCTGCAGCACAGAAAGTCTGCCCATCCTGCGTGACAACAAACACCTGTTCGTTTCTAAAACTACCTCTTTCTAATGCATCCATGCCTGGGTGTCTAGGCCTTTCTTCTCTTCATCAGAAGGATACCTGATCACCAAAGAAAATTCCATTTTAGCTAATCCCCCAGCTAGGACACAGGAAGGAGAACTTTGAGAAAGGATAATTAGGCAGAGTCTGGAACATGGAACTCCTTTCTTCTTCCTTGTCTCTCGTTGATTCATTCAACAAATACTTTCTGGCTGCCATGATATGCCAGTGGCTGGGCACCACACAAGAGGGGCACAGAAAACCAGACAGAAAATGAACAAATGAAGAGAGTAGTTATGCCCCCTGCCACATCTCCTCTCCCCAACCCAGGCCGCCGGGCTCACTACTGTCACCTGTTGGTAACTCTGCTGCTGAGGTATCGTTTGAGGAACAAGCCGGGGCTGACTTGCAAACACATGGCCGTCCAGGTACAGAGGCGGGAGGTGGCTGCCTAGAGACAGAATGAGGGAGGCAGGAAGGGATGAAGTGTTGCTATTTCGGCATGTCCCTCTCGGGGGGGGCGAGTGTGTGCAGGGCTGCTTGGTCCCTCATGCTTCTGCAGCACATACCTGCTCACAGCATACCTGGGACACATCTCGGGGAACTGGGCAGGCTATGAGGCGGCCCTCTAGGAGGGAAGTGGGCTCCTATTTACCTTCCCCACCTAACTAACCACCAACTGTCCCAGACACTCGGGAGGGCTACTCTGCTGTAACTGAGGCTGCCTTGGTCTCTCAGTCACTGTCCTCGTCATCTCCCTGCTATTGAGTCCACAGTGCAGGGTCAGAAGGATCTATTGGAACCACATCACTGAGACGTTGGCAGCTGCACCCTCATAATCTGTATGCTCTCTTGGGGCACCAATATAGAGCAGTGACAATAAGGACAAAAACAGCTACCTCTGATGTGGGGTTCAGCTGATACAAGCCCCATGGAGTATGCTTAGCTGATGGGAAGAAGCAGAGGCTCTGAGAGGCCAGCTGCTCTCTAGCAGAGGTGACACAGAATTGGCATGTGACCCAGGTGTGACTCAAAGCCAAGGCTGCTCGATCCTCTCCCTGGAGATGGGAAAGCCTGGCCATCAAGACTTGGTTCTGTTTCCAGTAAAGGGAAGCAGGACGTGTACCTCACCTGCAGCACCTGGGAAGCTATGAACCATCCAGCCTACAAACAAATCCCAATTTCTACACATTCCTCAAGCCCCGAGAAGGTGTTCAGAGCTTTTCTTGACAGTAACTGGAGAAGGCTTCTGAAGCCTGGCTTGGGGGTGAGATACCTGGCATGGAAGCAGAAGGTGCTACAGAGGCCACAGGCATGGGTGGCATAGAAACTCCACCAAAGGAACTGTAGTTGACCCCGTTGGAGGCGCCCACGGAGGACGAGGGCTGGATGCCTGAGCCAGCCCCTCCTGGAGAGCTCTGCTCTGGCAAACTGGGGGAGTTTTCCCAGGCTTTGCGTGCAGACTCCATCTGCAGAAGCAAGGGAGGGGAGGGATACAGATCACCAGGAGGGACAGTAGTGGAGAGGCTAGCTCCTCCCTCCTGCCTCTCCACAAGACAAAGCCCCCATGCAGGCCCCTGCCAAGCCCAAGGCTGGTGTTACCTTCAGAGTGAGGTCAGCAGTAGGGAAGGACATTGGGGAGAGGCCAATGGCCCTCTGGATGTGATGATCCCGCCGGAGGATGGGAATACTCTGTGTTAGCCCCGCCTGGAGAGGGGGGAAAGGACACCATGGAGCACAAAGCAATAGCGAAAGTGACATGCTCAGGCCGGGCATGGTGACTCACACCTATAATCCTACCACTCTGGAAGGCTGAGGCAGGTGGATCGCCTGAGCTCACAGGTGCCCTGAGCAAGAGCAAAACCCCGTCTCTAAAAAAACAGCCAAGTGTTGTGGCGGGCACCTGTAGTCCCAGCTATTTAGGACGCTAAAGCAAGAGAAAAGCTTGGGCCCAAGAGTTTGAGGTTGCTGTAAGCTAAGACGCCACAGCACTCTACCAAGGGTGACAAATGAAACTCTGTCTCCAAAAAAAAAAAAAAAAAACCCAAACAGTGACACACTCTTCAAATTCACCTATGACTTGTCCAGTTTGGGCCATAGGTACAAGACCACCAAGATGATCTTTACAGCAGCCAAGATCATTGTCTGGCTCCTCCAGAAAGCTGCCTTCCTCAATTTCCTCAGAAGCAGCCCATGGATAGTCATCTCTACACCCACACTTCCCCAGGCCCTCCACACAGGGACAATCACGTGCCAGCAACATAAAAACTGGCTGCTGGCTCAGCAGGCACCTGCCCTGTGGCTACCTTGGCACACTGAGAAAGAGGTCCCTGGTTAACAGGTGGGAAATGCAGCACCAGATAGACCCTCTGCCTGCAGATCTCGGGCACCATGGCATATGACAGCTGTTCTGAGAAATCTCAGGGTAAAGAAATTTGTTCAGCCCAGCATTTTCAAACATATGTGACCACAGGACTTGTTTTCTTTTTTGATACCTAAAAACATTCTGCAGCACTCATACTGCTTGAAATCCCTGGGTGGAGCTGCCCAGCAAGCCTTACTCACCTAGCATAGCCAGAGCCCCTATGCTACCAACAGACAGGACAGAGCAATGAGCAAAAATAACCCCCCAAGTAACCCATGACTGATGCATCTCCTAGCTCAAGTCCACAGGAGAGGGATAGGAGGGCTACTGGACTCTAACAGAGCCAGACTACAGGGTGCAGGGACCCTCTAGCAGTAAAGGTAGGGCCTCCCCAACTGTGCAGTGTGTGCCATTCTCAGCTTGCACCTGCCACAAAGAAATAAACCAGACCTTAGGAAATACAGTAACCCACCAATGGTCACAAATCTGGGCATGGAATATTTAAGCAACCTGCCTATAGACACATAGCTGGGTAGTGACTGAGTCACAAGTTAAACTCAGGACATCTTGTCTCTCTTCTTGTCCAGGGCCCACCAGCCAAGGTGAAGTGTGGACTTACATTACTGGCCAAGGCGTCCTGAAGTTTGACAACTGGATTTCCTGCAGGACCAGAGGCAGAACCGGGCGGCAAGCTGAAGTCAGAGTCCTAAAAAAAGGGGCCGACAGCTCCTAGAATCCTTCTGGCTCACCTTTCCCCTGAGGTACAACTCAAAACTCCACTAAACACCATTCACTGGGGCCACATGGGAGCAAGATGGCTAAATGTTTCCGGGCAGCATATGAGTAAGGGAGCCACCCTTACTCCTTTCTCCCTCCCACTGACCCCTGACCCCTGGACCGGCAGCGAGGACAGGAAAGATCACTGTCTGGGTCAGCTGAGAGCCAAGCTAGTATTGACAAGGCCAGCCAATCCCATCTGCCTGTCCATGACTCCTGGTCAACACTCTTGCCCTTGGATCTGGCTTAGCTTCCATTGTCCTATTCTTTCTACGAGAAACCCTATCCAAACCCCACTTCTCCATGGACCAAAGAGGAAAAATAAAGGGGGGGGGGGCAAATCAAAGCCTCACTTTAGGGTTGACTCCAAATTCAATGGGTGGCACAGGCAGCACAGAGTCCACGTGAATCTCTACCCCATTAACAGGTGGAACAACAGTCCCCTGCAGCCGCTCAGCCCCCTCCGAGCCCTTCCTGTTTTTCAGAGAACGCTCATTGCCGATAGGTCCTGGTCTGTGCTCCTTGCTCTGTCCTGAGCTTTGTTCTGAATCCTTAATGGAAAAGCAGAGAGGTAGAAACATGCTCATTGGAATGACCACAGCCTCTGGCCTCCATGTGCCCGGGGAAGAGAAGAGAAGACACCCAGGGGGACTTCCTTTTACCTTTTGCTCAGACTGCTTCTGAGCCTGCTCTTTGTGGCTGTCGATCTTGGGTTCCGCCAGGCTAGGCCCATTCATCTCTTCTGGCTTCAGAGTACCATATGGGGAGCTGCGCTGTGAGGAGGTGGCGGACGACTCACGGGACTCGGCACTCAAGTCTACACCACTATCCCCCTGGCTGCTCTTAAAACCCTGATGTGCAGAGCACAAAGTGGGTTAGAGCCCTGAGACACGGCTCCCCAAACCACCTAACCCCCACGAAATTTGTCCTAATCTTGACCCTAACCTGTTGGTGGTGCCTGAAAACTCACCCACAGCCAAAAGCATCAGCCTGCTCATGCTCAGAGTGAGTTCCTCCATGGTCCTAGACCAAGACCGTCTAGCTGATTTCACTTGTGACCCAAACCAGACTGAGTGACCACCAAGAAGGGTTCAAAGGAGGCCCTCATTCCCTCTCCCTAGCTGGGAGGGTGGGGGGAAGGCTTCCTCTTGATATCCCTTCTCTTTCTCCCACAATCCCGGACAGACCAGGAATCAAACTGAAAACCAGTGAGGAGCCAGGGTCTGTGGGAACAGCCTTGGGCAGGGTGGGACAAAGGGGGTCCATGACAAGCTAACCACGGTGACAGTGAGCGCACACCTCTGCGGAGCTAGGCTCAGCGCTGCTGAAGGCTGTGACTGCTTTCCTCCAGGAGTCACTGGCTGAGGCCTGCACAGGGAGAGCTGCTAGGGGAGGAAGACAGAGAGTCAGGGCACCAAAGAGGACTCACCAGACAGTAACAGATGAGTTTTAGTTTTAGACAACAAGTATAGGTAAAGCTTATAAAAATCTGATTCCCCTTACTGTCTACCCTAGCCTGTGTAGGACCCATTCATTAGCAGATGATACACAGGAGCCAATCTGAGAGCTTTACCCAACTTTCCAACGCCCAATAGACTTCATTAAACATGTCTCAGAAGTTTACAGATCATGTGCAGCAGCACACACAACAGCACCTTTTATTCACTTTGATTTGAATTATCCATCATTCCTTCTGCTATGTTACTCCTTTCTTTCAATTAAACTATGTATTTTTAGAAGTTGCAGTTCTCTAAGTCTTTAAAAGATCCAAGTAGGTATTACTCAAATTTTGTTAGCTCACGACCCCATGAGAATCTGACAAGAGCCATGGACCCTAAGCCCAGAAAAATGTATATTCACACAAAAATGTGCATGTTATTTTGAGACCCAGGGGCCCCCTGAAGGCACCCATGCATCCCTGGTTTGAACAACCAATGAGACACTGCAAAGTCCTGGAGGAACAGAGCTGACAGAAGGGGCCGACTCTTTAGTTTTGTACATACTGCTCAACCAGCCTGGTGGGTGGGCATTTCTGGACAATTTATATTGTGTGTGTATGATACCCATCACTCATGCACTCTACCAAACTTGCCATCATCTATGTTTCATCTAAAGATCATTGTACTTCCTTGCAATCAGAGTTGACTACTGTCTAATGTTATTTTGCAATGTATTAGAACCACGGTTTTCACCAGGAACATGAGTATACACTATGTGGGAACACTGAAAAAAGTCAAGTCCCAGAACCCAGAGTCCTGGGTGCTTGTCATGTGGCCCTGGGATTAAGTCACTTTACTCTGGAAGCCTAGGCTGCTTTGTATAAAAAGCAGCAAGGAACAGTTGATCTCTCCAAGTTCTACCACAAACTGTAAATGCCTTTAATTTGTCTATGCACCCTCAGGGTTCACAGCACAGGGCCCTGCGCAAAGAAGGCATTTAAAAAGAACCTGTTCAATTAAAATGGTTTTTATTTTATTTTTATTTTTATTTTTAATTTTTTTTGGAGACAGTGTCTCACTATGTTGCATTTAGTAGAGTGCCATGGCATCACAGCTCACAGCAACCTCAAACTCCTGGGCTTAAGTGATTTTCTTACCTCAGCCTCCCAGTAGCTGGGACTACAGGCACCTGCCACAATGCCTGGCTATTTTTTGTTGTAGCTGTCAATGTTGTTTAGCTGGCCTGAGCTGGGTTTGAACCCGCCATCCCTGGTGTATGTGGCTGGTGCTGTAACTACTGTGCTATGGGTGCTGAGCTGGCTTTGTATTTTAAAAGGAAAAGTTATCAGAAAAACAGCACTGGATCTAAAATTTAGAAAATAATTTCTCAAGGAAACAAATCTTCCAAAAGGTAAGATATGCTTTACCCAGGTTTGCCTTCCACAGACTGTTCTAGGAGTTTATAAACCTTCCCACCTGGATCAGGAAAGGCACATGGCAGCTAGGGGAGCTTTAGGACTCTTGCTGGGATCGCCATCGAAGATAAAAAAGGATGACTCCGACATGGCAAAGAAAGTAGATCCCATCCCCCGAGATCTCAGGTCATGTGGCTGTCCTCTTTCACATCACTGGACATAATGACTGGTCTACTCTTCCATCACATCACAGGCAACCAAATGTGTATTCCTGTCTGGGGGCTGCAGCAGCAAATACAGCTAAGCTGGCCCTCACCACTGTGGCTCAGAGGAACCCAACAAGCAGCTAATATTCCACTTGTTTGGCTCACAGGCAGAATGCCCCAAAGAAGAAAGCCCAGGTCTGGGAGGTCACCTCAGGGTAGCAGCTGACCAGACGTGCTGCTTCTCACCTTGGCTGCTGCTCTCCCAGATCTCAGTGCCTAGGCTGCTGCCAGGCATGGTCACATCGCCTTGTTCCAGGCACAAGTTATTTTGCTTTTTTGCAAATCTAGGAGGAATACGAGAGGAAAGACCTCGACCTTTGACAGGCACCTACAGGGGATAAAAAAAAAAAAGGCAATGTAGTCTAGCCTGAGGCATGAAGGCTGACAAATTCTCCCAAGAACAAGTAACTCACATACCAAAACCACACTACCCAAAATTGCCTGAGAGACGTTTGGAACCCATGTCCCCTAAGGCCTCAACTACAGAGAGTGCACTGCAAGGCCAAAGCAAACCAGGAAAGGGCCACCAGACACAGGGGTTATGACCATGTGTGTCCAGCACAGGGTTCCTGATCCCAGTGACTCTCTCCTTACAATCAGGCTAGAGTATGGGGTGGGGGGTAGGGGTTAGACTCGGAGGCTGGGGGAAAGTCTGAACCCTTGCTCAGCCACATTTCAGCTATTACCATCTTAGGACAAGTCACCCTCTTTGAGATTTGATTTTTTCCTCTGTAGAATAGTGGTATCACCATCTACTCCCACAGGGCCAGTGAGGACAGGTACTGTGGCATGATGCATGTCTAGTAAAGACTCCCTTTTTCACTCCCCTGCTAGCAGGAGCTACATGGGCTACATGGGGAGCCTGCCCTCTACCCTAGCACCCCGCCCCTCACCTGCACGGCCTGCTCCTTCTTTCTTCTCTCTTCCTCCAGCAGGCGGCGCTGCTTCTTGGTCAAGACTTCAATGAAGCCTTCACCCACCATACTGCCCACCTCACTCTCCTCTCCAGGGCTGGACCCACAATTTTCAATGATGGCATCTGAACCAAGATTTCATGAGAAGGGATGGACAATGTTTGCATTCATCAGAAGGCAAGAATAACCCAATTCAATAGCCACCTGGCATCTGGGAACAGGCTCAGCTCAGAAGGCAGGTAGCACCTGGGTCTGCACAAGTGTGGCCTGATTTCTGCACCTCTCTCACATCTTCAGGGATCTAATACACTGTTATTTCAAACCAAAGAGGTCTAAGTACCACTATAATTAAGAAAACTGGGCAGGCGCCTGTGGCTCAAAAGAGTAGGGCATCGGCCCCATATACCGGAGGTGGTGGGTTCAAACCCAGCCCCAGTCAAAAAAAAAAAAAAAAAAAAGAAGAATGTTAAGAAAACTGTCTTGAAGGGCACACTTAAATCCCAGCTTGGCTCCAACCAGCTATGTGACCTTGGACACGCTACTGAACCTCTCTGGGCCTTAGGCTTCTCTTCTTTAAAACACCATAGGGTCTTAAGGGGATTCAACAGGCTCTGAGCAACCAGAGGGCAGAAATCTTATCTGTGTGGTCCAATCCTGCATCCCCAGAACTTAGCCCAGCACCTGCCCAGGGTAGTTGTCAGGAGCAGTAAACATGCCAGCTCCCAAGACCGCTGTGGTCCCCAGTCCTGCCTAGGTTCTTCCCTCTACAGATGAAAGGGGACCAGACTCACTTCCATAGTTCAGGTCAAACTGTTTCATGGTCTCTCCCTGCTCTCCTGCCCTCTGAGCAGCCAACTTGGCCTCTTTCTCTGCCTTCTTACTGGAGGCTTCAGAAACATCAGTGCTGGCATGGGCCGCCCGATCCAGGCTGCAGGGTGAGTGGCTGCTCCCACTGCTGCAGCCACTAAGGCCTCCAGGCAAGGCCTCATCTGGGGATCTATGGAGGAAAGAGAATGTTGTTAACTCAGAAACCACCAGAGGGAGGTGAAGAAAAGAAGAGGAAAATCGCATATGCACACATAAACACAGTACCCTGACTACATCCATCTCTTCACTAATCCCTTGGCTAGGGAGGAGCTACTCCTCAGCAGCAGAGGCCTGTGTGTGTACCACATGGAATCCCACACCCTGCCCTGCTGGCACATAGCCCTACCTGCTCCTGAGGAAGTTGGCATTGCCAGCTCTTTCCCAGGAGCTCCTTCTGTTCATCCCCGCTGCAGGGTAGCACAGTAGACTACAGCAGGGAGAGAAATGGAGGGACACGCTCAGGACAGAGCTGCCGATCTTCCATTCTTTCCCAGGAGACTCAGACTAGCAAGGGGCTTGGCCCCGCACAAGGCTCTTTGGGCAGAAATCTAAAGCAAAGCCAAGTCCTGGCATCTGGGCCCTGGAAAGCTAGGCAAGACCAAAGCCTTTAAGAACCAGCATTTGTCCGTGGCTCCTTTATGGGAGACAGAAGCAGCCCCCAATTCTAAATTCTGTGCCTTGAATTCTGAGGAGGAGGGAACACGGCAAAGCAATCTTCCCCAGTACACTCTGAGGCAGGGAAGGCCTCTGCACAGCCTTGCTTCCCCACTTGAGGCATGAACTCTGGCTATCAATAAACCCTGCAGCACAACTGGCCAAGAGTCAGCACCGAACACAGACCCTCCTCTAGGAAGTCCCTTAATTCTGTATGTGAGGAAAGACACATAGGCCTTAGGCAGCCTGCTTCTTTTTCACCTGCTGGGCCCCTACTGTGCTGAGGTGGCAACCCCGGCAGCAGTGCTTTGTCTCCTCACTGAGGAGGACAGCCACTTGGGAAGAGTCACCTCTGCACAGCCAGAAGGCCAGCAGTGCCCCCAGACCCCTGCCTAGCAGCAGCTCCAGAGCAGAAGGATCTAGTGGATGGACCAAGGCTCACCAGGCTCCAAGCACAGACAGTGCCCCTCTGTGCAGCAGCCCCTGGAGAGGTTCCAAGGACACTTACAGAGGCTGAACTCTGGGGCCAGGCGCCAGGACAGCTGCCACAAGAGAACTGAGGGGAAAAGGGGCCATCTAGCTTTAGCTTTGTCAAGCCACAACACCACCACAAGAGAAGCAGACAAGCAATGCAGGAGCGAGTGATGGAGACACTCACACACAATGGCCTTTGGGGCAGGCGCCTGCGGAGCACCTGACCCATGGCTGGCAGGCATGCATGAATTCAGTGCTGCTAAACATCACAACGACAACAAAAAGGGCCTGGGATGGTGTTCTGGTGTTACCTTTTGGCTTTCAAAGGCGTCCCATTCTGTTGGCTGTCATAACGGGGGGAAGTGTCACCACCACCTGGCCTAACAGACTTCTCCCCAAACCCTCCCGGCTCCAGCTTTCGGCTCTGTCTGTCAACCAGGGGTCTCTGGCTGGAGAAGCTCCTCTTGGCCAGCTCCTTCTTCTCACCCAAACTGGCCCCGGACAGGCCAGCATCCCCCTGGGGGTCAGGCTCAGCCCCATGGCCTTCTCGCCGCTCACGCCGCTCACTGAAGTCGCTGCTCTCGGAGGCCGTCTCCCATTCCTCATTGGCATGGTCGGAGGAATTCTGGTAGGAGAGCTCGGGGGACCTGCGACCTACGGTGCTGCTCTTGTCCCCAGGACAGAGTTTGGCCCTGCTTGGCCACTGACCCGCCAGCACGTGGGGCTCCTCTTCAGGCCCCCACAGGCCCAGTGACTCACGCTCTTGCCGGAGGCGCCTGAAGCGGGGGGGCTTGTCTTGGCGTGGGGGGCGCCTTCTCCTGAAGGGCCGGTTCTCTACATTTTCAGAATCTGCCACGTGATCATCTTGGAAGAAGGACCTCTTGTCCTCCAGGCGGCCATCCTCAAAGGGCCTGCTGCTGAATGACTCAGAGTGCCGGCAGGAGTCTGGGGTGTAGCCTCTGTCCATGGGCCGCCGGGTTCCACATGAGTCGGAGGCACCATACTCCTGCCAGGGGCTGCCGGGGCTCTTGCTCTGCCAATGAGGGGACTCTCTAGAGATGAAGGTTCTCCGCCCATAGCCACAGTTGCTCAGCCGTGGAGGAAGGGCTCGCCCAAAGGCCCGAGGGCCTCGGCTCTTAGCGTCCAGACCACTATGGTCCTCAGAGTACACCTTATTAGATCGCCAGGAATCCCTGCAGTCGCCTTTCTTTGCAACACCATCCTCCCTCTCCAGGAGCAAGCCCTGGTTCCCAGTCTCACAGCCCCTCTGCCGGCGCCGCTTGGGCAGCTCTTCATACTCTGAGCCCTCGCTGTGCGTCTCACTGGCAATCCTCCGCCGGGGCTTGGCTCTGGGGCAGTCTTCCGGCTGGGAGAACTCACGGAGGCCCCGGCCCCGGCCACATCGCTGGCTGTTGCTGTAGATACTGCGAGTCCCCAGACCCCCCCCACCACAGAGGCTGCTTCCATTGCCACCAGCAGGCCGACCACGAAAAGTGAACTCTCTGAAACCACGGCCTCGGCCCCGGACCTGCCCTCTGACCCCAAAGGCTTGCTCCTCATCAATAAAGATCCAGTTATTTCTCTTGGTCGGGGGAACATCACTGGATTCTCGTGAGGGTCTGTTTTCCCAGGACTTGTCGGGCTTCTCATCCTCTTCAAGCTTATTGGCCTCATGGCCAAAAGTAGCATGGGTGGGAGCCTTGTCCTCTAAGGTGGAGGGGGAGGAGTTGGCCAGGGTGGAGTCGTTCTCTTCATCCTCATCCTTCTCCACCTTTCCAACCTGTTCCTTCTCCTTGGCCAGCCGGTCCTCCCCGAGCTCCTGCTTCATCTTCTCCAGCTCTTTCTCCTTATCTTCTACTTTGAGGGCTTTTAGGACGGGTTTCTTAATGGGGCCTGACCTTCGAGTCCTGCCTGTCTGCTCCTGCTGCTGGCTGCTGGAGCTCCGAGGTTCAGGAGTCCACTCAGGCTCTGCAGACGGCTGCTTGTTGGGGCTCCCATCCTTTTCCCAGGAGATATTAAAGGAAGGCCCCTCCTGGGGCGCCTCCTGCTCAATACCACGGGCTGTGTCAGTGGCCTTTGGCTGATGACTAACGTCCCAACTGCCATACTCTGGCTTTTTCTCCTCTGGGACAAAGTCAGGCTCCAATGGGGAACACCTGAGGTTTTGAGTATGACCCCCAGGAGCACCTGCTTCCTGAACACTTTCTTGGGGCAGAAACAAAAGCTCCTGGCCTATTCTCTGAGAAGAAATACAGCTGTCAAAGTCTGCTGGGGCCTTCTTGTCAAAAGCACTCAAGTACTCCTCCCCTCTCTCCTCAAAGAGATCGCGCTGGGCACCTATGCCCCCGGACCTTCCCGGTGAGGCAGAGTAAGAGCTTTCATTCCTGAAAAGGAACCAGAAAAATCAGTCAATGTGATTGGAGCCTGGTTCCTGGTTTCCATGCTGAACACAGAGCTTAGTTTTAAAAAGAAAAAAATTTTTTAAAAAAGAAAGAAAAAAACACAAGCACCAACATTTGCTCTATCTTTAAACACGGTTCAGAGTGGCTGGGCCATGTACTGGTGGTGGCCCCTGTAGTCCGTGAGAGTGAAGAACGCAGTGGCCGCGGGTGGGTGCAGCATGCCACCCTGGAGACAGCAGCAGGGCAATCCTCAGTTCAAAGAGCAAGCTGGAGCCTGGGAGTCCGTGAAGAGTCAAGGGCACTGGGATGGCAGGGCTAGCGTTGTTTACTTTCACGGGAAGGAGCCAAGACCAGCTCTTGACCCCACCTGCCCTGCGAGGCCCCCACCCACTTGCCAGGTACTCGAGGTCCAGTGGCCCTGGACTTCTCCATCAGAGAAGAGCCTCTCACACAAAGCGCTCGAGTAATCCTCCTCACATTCTCCTCCCCAGAAGGCACTGCCTGCCTGTCCCTTTGGGGGAGCCTGTCTCCCACGGGCACTACCTCTCCCCAAGGCCCTCTCAGTCAGGACCTGGAGTCTCCCTCCAGTGGCAAGGTGGTAGGACTAGGTTTCATCTCACCTGACATGCATGTCCACAGCCAAAGTGTCACTAGACTTCGGGTGGGGAATCGAGTAGCCTTTGTTCTGCAAGGCCATGTATCCCTCTGGGCTCCACACAGGAGCCGGATCCATGGTGGTCACCTTTCTCTCTTGGAGTGGGGGCACACAGTTCTGATCCTCAGAGCGACAGCCAGTCCCACCGAGAGGGTCTTGAGGTGCCATGGGTTTTATCAGTCCTGGGGAAGGCAAAGGCTAGAGTCTGTCATTTTATGGAGAGAGGCCTACCCAATCTCAGGGTCAAGGGCTCAGGGCAGACCTGTTAGCCCCAACTATCATAGGCACACAGAGCCTGCCCACTGAAACACCATGGGATTCCTATCTCTTCTGACCAGAGAACCGTACTCATGCACGCAATCTGAACTGTCCCAAGGCCTATGAAGTCTACCCAGACTACCACCATAACTTCCCTGGAAGGAGCAAGGGAAGCACGCTGGAAAACATACCCTTTCATACCCTCACAGGACAGGTGATGAGGCCTTTTTGGACAGGGCAGGAAACTGCAACTGAGATGACCCTTCAAATAAAGACCTCTAAAGGGCTACTGCTTCAGAAAGCATAGTAGACAAACATACACCCTTTAGTAGTGGGAATTAACTAGAAAGTCTGTCTTGGCCTAGGACAGAAAAAAAGCACTGACAACTATCCCCCACCAACCCAAAACAATGTGCTTGCTTTCGTAAGGCCTGCGATAGGGAAGAGTGCAGATGTCTACTTCCCACAGTGGTCCAGAGGCCTCCCATGTTAACATAAAAGGTGGTTCTGGACTGGCAGAAGAAAACCCAATACCACACTGGAAGGATATATATGGCTCAACACCAACCATACTGGGTCCTCAGTGAAAAAACTGGTAAAACTGAACTTGCCATCCCAACTACCAGAACACATGTGGACAATAACCCACCACCAGTTTGCAGTGATCCCCAGGACAAGATGCCTCCACAAGAACTTGAGATAACAGAATAATCTGTTAAACACTAGAGAATCATACGTAACACGATTAAAGCCATAAAAGGGATTAAAAACTTAAGAAAAATAACAAACACCCACCCCCTCAAAATGAACAGATTGTAGAAACAAATTCCAGTTACCAAAATTAAAAGGCTACTTGGGATAGTAAGAAAGCAGATTAGACACTGCTAGACAGAGAACTGAACTAGAAAACAGTTCTGAGGCAATTTCCCAGGGGGCAACACAGAGATAACCTCTCTTTCATATATTCTTCCTCATTTAAGACACATGGGGGGCTCGGCGCCTGTGGCTCAACTGGCTAGGGCGCCAGCCACGTACACCTGAGGTGGCGGGTTCGAATCCCCAGCCCGGACCCGCCAAACAACAATGACGGCCAAACAACAATGACGGC